TCATCATCTGAACTCGAAAACCCAAACTCTTAAACTGAGCTCTACCTAACCTTAGTTTTGATCTCAGTGACAATGAAAAGAAGGCTTTACCAGGACGACAAGTGATGACTTTGATTCCAGAAATATTCCACCTGTTAAGTCCCTGACTATACTACACCAGAAAGGGGGCAGTCACTGAGTGGCTTAGAACATACATGGGATTTACAGGGGATGGGAAGGAGAGGAACTGACATTCCTAAGGAACCCTAATGCAGGGAAAGAGGTCGGCAGGTGAAAATGAAAACTACAAGGACCCTCATCTGGGAACATCAGCTACATTGGGGGAATGACAAGCAACAGAAACCGACCTGCAGCCCAGCTTTTCTACATCAAGTCTTGAGTGGGAACATGAAGCAAAGAAAGAAAATGTAACTGGCACAGGACAGGGGATGGACGATGTTGTTGAGGGATGCAGTCTGGCTTAATGAACAAAAACAAAGGCTTTACTTAGAAAGACACGGGTCTAGGTTCCAATTCCACACCACCTAGCAGACGTGAGAGCCTGGGGGAAGTTTCTTACCCCCTCCAAACCTCAGTTTTCTCCTCTGTAAACTGGGTATGGTAAGATGCACACCTCACAAGAGGTCAAAGAAGTCGTGTAAAGCACATGGGAAGTACCTGAAAAGGTTACGTGCCGTTATTTCCATCCTTTTCCCTAAGTATCACAGTACGTATTTCCCAAGCACAAGTACATCGTCATACGACCCCAGTACGTTATTTCTATTACTGTCACTATTCTTACTCCTCCATTGCTGTAATCATTACAACAGGAGTCCCCCCGCCCTGAGGTACCCCCGCATTTCTATCACTCTCTCGAACACAGGGAAGAGCAGGAGTCCTGGGTGGTGACACCCGGCAGACCACCCGAGAGACCTCAACAGGACCCCCGGCGGCATCTCGCACCCCGCTTCCTTCCCCAACCCCGAGGACTAACAGAAGGGTGAGGCCCAGGCCAGGTCCCCAGCGACAGGTCCGCCCCTCCCCCTCCCCAAAAACCCCCGCCACGGTGACCCCCGCCCGTCCCCGCCCTCGCCTCACCTTCCCGTAGTTCTGTATAAGGCGACTGATATTCTCGCGCTCGACCTGCCATTCGGGCTTCTTCAGCTGCTTCCTCAACTGCTTCTTTTGGTTCTGCCTGTGGCTGTGTTTTTTCTTCCAACGGTTAAAACTCCTCACCGGGTCGGGTCGGGCCCCCGGACCCAGAGAGTCTGCAGTTTTGCCCATTGTGGCGGTAACCACAACTCAAATATCGCCCCAAACGCTACGAACCTAAGGCCAAGCTGAGGTACCAGTCTGCGGAGAACGAACCAGCGTGGGGAAGGTGCGCAAGGGCGCATGCGCAAACACAGGAGCCCCCGCCCCTGAGCTTTTGATGCCCCGGCACGCACCGATGACGAAGAGGAAAGTGCGAGCGATGATTGGTGTTTTGGCTTCCGCAGGGCGGAGCGCTCTGGAGAAACCGAAGCAGAGAGGTCTGGGGAACTGGAGGGGCTGAGCGGCTTCTGAAGCACGCCGGTTCTTTAATAGAACGCATGCGCGCTGGCTGCTGCTACTCTGGTGACGTCACACTACTTATCATTCAAGGGCTGTTGCGCTCGGAGTCTGGCTTCAGCTTGGCCGAGCGTTCGCGAATGCGTGCGTACGCTTTACAATCTGTGAGTTACAATTGCGGTCCTGGTTTTGCATATTTTGGCCCAGGAAACTGGAAAATTTGTCCAAAATCAAATAGATAATGACTTATTTCGGCCCACGGCAGTGTACCTCCTTAGGAATAAAAATGGGTATCTTTTTTCTTTTCTTTTTTTTCTTTTCTTTTTTTTCTTTTTGGCGGTACTGGGTTTGAACTGAGGGCCTTTCGCTTGCAAAAACAGATATTCCTTAAACTTCCTCTGGGCTGGCGGGGTGGCTCAAATGGTAGGGCGCCTGCCTAGCAAGCAAGAGGCCCTGAGTTCAAACCCCAATACACACACAGACACACACACACACACACACACACACACACACACACACACACACACACGAAAAAAGTAGAAAATAGACTTTCTCTGCCTCTCCTGGTTTTCCCTTTCCTCGGCCCCCTCGGATTCCAGCCTCAGCAACCAGGTAACTGAAGCACAGTATAACTGAATTTACCTTAAAAGATTATTGTAAAACAAAATGAGCTGGCGCCAGTGCTCAGCTACTTGAGAAAATGAGATTGGGAGGGTCCGGTTCAAAGTCACCCCAGGCAAATAGTGTGAGACTCCATCTCCAAAATAACCAGAGAAAAATGGACTGGAAGAGTGGTTCAAACAGTAGAGCACCTGCTTTGCAAGTGAGAAGCCCTGAGTTCAAACTCTAGTCCTACCAAATTAAAAAAAAATTTTAAACAAAGAAAAATGATTACTAAAAGTAAGAAACTAAGAAAAGGCAAGTTGACCATTTAAGTGACTTTGATTTCCATGAATTGGGTGTTGTGGCATTTTTTACCTAAAGCCTCCACACAAGACACTGGGTGACACTGGGAATTGGAGAGCCAGGTTCGATGTAGAGTAAATCCTTAAATTTCCTTTCTGACACCACATCCTCAGATAACTATCCCAGCCCCGTGCCTATCCAGGGAACTGGAGGTGAGTAATTGAGAGAGGGAGGGAGGACAGGTGAACCAGAGAATCTCCACATTTGGGTACAGCAGATGTAGGTGAGAGTTACCGCTCAATAAGGGGAGAGTATATAAAAGAATATGTACATCCTCTGAAAATTAAAAATAAAACAACCATACATTTCTGCTTCTAGAAATATACCCAAAAGAATTGAGAGCAGAATCTTCAAAGGTATTTGAACACTAGTGCTCATACCAGCAGTATTTAGTGTTCATCAACAAATGCAGGGGTAAACTTGGCATGTAAGCAAAAGGGGCCATTCCTCAGACTTAAAAAGGAGGGAGATTCTGACACACTCTATGACATGCGTAGACCTGGAGAACATCAGGCTGAGTGAAATAAGCAGTTTGCAAAAGGACAAGTACTGTATGATTTCACTTGTATGAAATACCAGAGTTGTTGAAATTATAGAGAAAGAACAGTGGTTGGTTGCCAGGGCTAAGTGCAAGGGAGAATGGAAACTTTGTGTTTGGTTTTGCAAGATGAAAAGAGGACTGGAGACTGATTGCAGAACAATGTGAATGTACTTAATTATACACTAAAAAATAAACAGTAGGTTTTATGCTATGTATTTTAACGTATGTGTGTGCATATATATATATATATATATATCATATATGTGTACATGCAAACACACAAGGCCCTCAGATATATCTGACTAACCTCCTAAAACTGAAGCACTCAGGCATATATGCACCCCAGCTGTAATCGTAGCTACTTGGGAGGCAGAGATCAGGAGGATCACAGTTCAAAACCAGCCTTGGACAAATAGTTTACAAGACTCTATCTTGAAAATACCCAACAAAAAACAGGGCTGGCAGAGTTGCTCAGGTGGTAGAGCACCTGCCTAGCAAGCATGAGGACATGAATTTAAACCCCAGTACCACCAAAAAAAAAAAAAAAGAGAATTGGAAGATTCATTTCTAAGGATAATGAATGCCCAAGAGAAAGACCTCAATATAGTGACATTTAGGCACCTGCAAAGCATGGCAATCAACACTTCTTCCTGGTGCTTTAGTGAAACTTACTAGTTAATAAGCCTTCTAGTCACTCATTTCTAATCAGATTTACTCTTAAATATGAAAAATCACCAAAGAGCACCAAATTTTTGAGGACATACTTTAAAGGTATCAAACCCAACTCAAAAGATCTTTTTCCCTCTTTATATTTTGTTTTCTATTCTGTGTTTATAAATTGTTTATTCAGCATGTATACTGGAGGGAAGTGGTCCAAATAATGTATACACATGTAAGTAAATGCAAAAACGATAAAAATAAATAAATAAATAAAAATTTTAAAAAGCATGTATATCAAATAATTCCACTATTACATCATCTGAGCAGCATCTAGATTGAGCTGTGGAAATACAGTAGCTCCCTTATCCATCATTTCACTGTCTGTGGTTTTGGTTGCCCAGTCAATGGTCTTCAATCTTTAAATATATATATATATATATATAACTTTATTCAGTATATTGTTGTAATTGTTCTATGTTATTATTAGTTATTGTTATTATCCTCTTACTGTGCCTAACCTATGCATTGAAGTTTATCATAGGTGTGCACATCTAAGGCAAAGCATAATGTATATATGATTTAGAATACTCTGTGGTTTTAGGCATCCCTTGGGGCTCTTGGGATAGATACAGTGAGCATAAGGGGAAACTTCTGTATTGGGTTTTAGAAATCCACAAATCTAGTAGTAATTGTTACATATTCTGTCTAGGATCTATAGAAATTGTAACTAAACTAATTGAACAATGTTTAACACTCTTGCCTTACTCAAGTGATCAAATGGCTTCGTTCCATGTGACAGTGTTAACTGCTTGGTTTTCTATTTCATCCTCTAAAGATAATCTCTACTCCACAGCACCAATAGCTGTTTGTATTACAGTTTTCAAGTCAGGTTTCAACTTTGAATAACTAACACTTGGCTGATATGTTTCCTGG